TATATATTATTGTATTAAAAGAATGGTAATTTATTATACTCACATTTTACTAACATTTTATTTGACTGTTAATTGAATAGTCCATGCTCTATTATATTTTTTGTGGAACAAATACAGACAAGAAGACTCTTCAGAAGCACGTCTCCAACGTTCTGTTATTAATGATGAGATTGACATCAAGTATGGATTTGATCGATACAAAGACCCACAAGAGAGAGTTGGTTGGTTAATCAACATGCATCCGGTAAGTGAAGAAATAAAGAAATCATTAAATTATTCTAGGTATGCAATGTTTTTGGAAACCAAACAAATAAAAAAAAAAACCAGGTTCAATTAAACATCACTTTCAAACACTCGCTACTACTCACACATTTTTTGAACATGTGCCGTCAATTTACCAATAAAAATAACAGACCAACCAGTAAAAATTTATGTTGGTAGAATAAAAATAGCAATTATTAGGCCTAGGTAGCCTAGGCTGACCTTTTTTTAATAAATGACCACCATTCCAGTCCAGGCCTAGGCTATGATTATAAAACATTTAAATAATTAATGGAGAATAGGTAATGAAATGGGAATAGTAAAACAGTGCAGTTAATTTAAAATTACAATCATTATATATAATTCATGTTTAAATAATACTATTTATTATCTTTGCTATAGGCTGACATCTTGGATGAAAACAAGAAGCTCATAAGTGCCGTTGATTACTATTTTATTCAGGATGATGGCAGCAGATTTAAAGTAAGTTGTCAGTTGATAATTATATGTAGATAAGATAATATACGATAGCAACGCCACATCTGGCTTTTATGGGAATGAAGACTTAAGTCAGAAAAAAAGTCCTGAAACCTAGATCACTCATTGGAGGGTTTCTAAAATTTGTGTTTAAATTTGTGATTAACCCACCACACACCACCCAACCACCCAGTCTTGCCCAACTAATAATTTGCTTTTTATCTTGACCAGGTGTCCCTTCCTTTTAAACCATACTTCTACATTGCCACTAGAAAAGACTGCGAAAGAGAAGTGTCATCATTTCTTACCAAAAAGTTTGTAGGCACACTCAGCTCTGTTGAAGGCATGTCAAAAGAAGATTTGGATTTGGTAAGTCAATATTAAAATTTTACCCTTGGGTACAGAACAGTATACTGCATGGGTATAGCTCAATACCATAGAAGCAGTAATTGATCCAATTGGGTTGGACATGTAGTGCTGGAATCAAAGGTTTAAGATCTAATACATAAATAATCTTTAATCATGAATATTCATTAACATGGCCATTAAGTCAAAATTGTATTGACCAATCATAACGCAGATAGAAATGAAAAGTTTTTAATCATGTTTTCAATTCAGAAATGGCTAATTTACACATAATTATATGATATTAATTGCATTAACTTGTAATTATGGTAGGCATTGTTGCAACGGTATTGTGGTTAATAAACATTTATTGTTATTGAAGAATCTAAACGTTGCAAGCCCACTTTCAATTTAGGTTTCGCCACTCGTAAATTGTATATTTTGTAGTTATATTGTTTGCAAATGAATAAAGAATAATTTTTGGACCCCATTTGAAATAAATCAACTTTAGTTGATTTTTATGGGCCATCCATGCATCCATTCTCCATTTCTACTGGCAATTTTTATCTGATTTCAGAATGGATGCTAAGTAAATAAATGAAAAATAAATGAAATAAAAAATTGATGACTGACTTGTTCTCACAGCCAAATCATCTTATCGGACTAAAACGACCCTACTTGAAGCTTTCCTTCACAACCGTAAATGATCTTCAGAAGGTGCGAAGGGACATTATGCCATCTGTTCGAAAGAATCGTGAACGTGAAAAAACACAAAATATATACACCACAATGCTGACAAGGTATATTAAAACTGAAACTGATTAGCAGTATAAACAATATATAGTGATCATTAGGCATTAAATCAATGTTTATTCATTTTTGTAATGAATTTATTCTGTTGCTTTCCATAAATTGACAATATTCCATTGGTCTAATAGTTTATTTAATTCACTATTATGACAATGACAGCTCTGATGAAACTTGAGTTTTCACTGCACATTAACAGGCGGTGTTTTGCAATTGGCACATGAAAGTAGCCAGATGCATTACTGTAATGATAATGATTTATTCAGTAGAAATAGTGGCAAGGGTGATTTTTTTTTTGAGATCAGAAAAAGCCTTTCTGAAAAAAAGAATATTCTTATGCTACTCAGTAATATGACTTAACCTTTGAACTTTTCCTGTTAAGTAAACTGACTGGTGAAGAAGACAATTCATCTTCACATGCTTCAAAGAAGATATCAAACCAGATGGACAATATTGTCGACATACGTGAATATGACGTGCCATACCACGTGAGAGTGGCCATTGACAAGAAGATTCATGTGGTAAGGAGATGTATCGCTCAGTGGAAACACAGTTTATAAACCAATTACTCAGTCCACACTGTCAGGTTTTATGTGATAAATACTTGTTATTTGCCCATATATGGTTATGATATGACATCATCATGTCCATATATGGGTAGATCACACATATTTGATAGAACATGATAGTGTGGGCAGGGCATTGCACCCAGAGAAAAATGGCCAAAACATGCTGAAATGTCAAACTTAAAAAAATCTATTTCATTGCACTAAACTAACCTTTATATATCTACACACCATCCTATGCTGTTAGTTTCCCCATTTTCAATGTTAAAACAACACTTTTTAAGGATTTAAAGATAGTTTCTGCATGAGAAATGCCTGAAATCATAAACTTTAAAGGCTGATTTCTCATATATTGTTCTTTAAACAGCTGTGTGGTTAAACGCTTGCAACTTCATAAGGAAATGTCTGATTTGAATGACTTTTTTACCACTTTATAGCTATTATTTTACTCTCTAACACTGTATTAATAACTCAAAATCAATTTTTGCGACGAGTGACTGGTTTGGCTTGTCTTTGCCACATATACTCATGATGTGGCAATAATTTATTTATGATGTGATGTCATCATCACCATATTTAGACATGTCACATGTTTTTGTTAGATAATATGTAATAGTCTAGACAGAGCTTAAACCTCATTAGGAGACTGAGCAACTTGTTTTTGTTTTTGTCTTTATGAAATTAATTATAATTTATATAACCTATGACCACAGTGATTCATCCTAGCCCATGTGCCTATGGTAAATAAATAAACGTAATTAATCTATACCAAATTTTATGTGGAGTATGCATTATCAGAGACAAACAGGTTCTTAGTAGGTAATTCCTATGACGTTTGCCAGCTTTGTCTCATAATGCAGTTGGTGTCTGACTTGTAAGTGTTGTAGTTATTTATTTTTTAATCTACCTCGACCTACTTTCTGTTTTGTATTAATTAGGTCAAAAAAGGTTATTGTCACACAACCCTGACGAAATTCAGTACAATAACCGGACATAATAATAATAATATTAAATAATAAAATCTTTATTTACACACGGAAGCTTGTATCACCCAAGGGTAATAATAATAATAATAAGCTAATAATAATAATAATAATAATAATAATAATAATAATTAGTAATAATAAGCTAATTCGTAGTTTAAACTGAGCATGCCTGTATGAAGGTGATTCAACATAAGCAAACATATACACATCATAGGTTTGTGTTGGTTGACCTTGGATACATGTGCAGTTAAATTGGCTACACATCCCCTTACATATTACCTTCGATCATAGTTCCCATGTAGTAAACATCTTAAATACATAAGTAATGTTGTGTTTTATTCTATCTTTCTTTGACAGGGGCATTGGTATTCTGTGCGAGGGCGTGGTGCACTTCCCCCTGACATTCAACAACGAGATGATTTACTTGATAGACCGGTAGACATTCATATTTATTTATTTTCTATTAACTTACATGTAAATTTCACCTATTATTGAATTGAAGTTATTTCAACACTGACATTTTTTTTTTTACATTTATTTATAGGATCCTGTTGTCTTAGCCTTCGATATAGAAACCACAAAACTTCCTCTTAAATTTCCTGATGCAGAGACAGATTCGATTATGATGATATCATATATGATTGATGGACAGGTAAAGACTAAAACAGAAATGTAGAGTTTTCTTATGCAATTTTTTAAAAACTATTTTTTTTTACCATATTTATAGAGGGTGACCCTTTCAGCTTATCCTAGAAGTTCGGCTGATATTTAGGGGCCTTCTTAAATAAATGAAATAATGTGATGCTTGAGTCAGTGAAGTTTCTTTGAGAATCCCTGGGATTAAAAAGCAAGCATCTTAGCATCTTAACCACTTAGCTACTCAACTCCATATTTTGTTAAGCAACCATTTGTTATTTAATATAGTGAAAGATATTTTCATAGTCTTTAGCAGCTTTTGTCTTTTAATTATAAAAAAAAAATATTAAATGTTTTAAGATAAACATTTATTTGGGGCTGCAGAAATGATGGTCTTTAATTGGAGGTGGTCTTTTATTGGAAGGTCTTTAATTAGAGGGTGACCTGCAATTGTTTCATTCTGTTGATGTGTTAATATGATTAAAAAAAAATTACTAGACTGTGTTTACTATTGATATTTTATCCATTTTTCCAGGGTTATTTAATCACAAATCGTGAGATCATCTCAGAGGATATTGAGGACTTTGAGTACACGCCAAAGCCAGAGTACGAAGGTCCATTTATAGTCCTTAATGAACCTGATGAAGAGGCCCTCTTACATCGGTTTCTAGATCATGTTCTTGAAATCAAGCCAAATATAATTGTGACATACAATGGTGACCTCTTTGATTGGTAAGTTCCTCATTCTGTGTTTTAATATATGGAATTTAATTTTATAAAGATTTTGTTTTCGCATAAAGAAAATATAAAAAAAGGATTTTGTTTTCTGAAATTTCCATTTTTTAACAGCAGTGGTTATGATAACAGGCCATAATGAAATTTTATTTTTATTCTGAAAACCTCATCAGTTTTCTTTTTTTCAAAAACAATGAATGAGAATCATCTTAATGGGAATATCTAGGGGGATTGGGGCAGGGATTCTGCAGCCCCTTCCACACCCCCCCCCAAAAAAAAAGAAGCTTGCCTCCCCTAGTAACCCCCATTGAAAATGTCAAAGGCAAAAAAACATGTTCAAGTAATTAAAAAATCACATTATTTTGCAACCAAGAACACCTGGACTAAATTAATATCGACTTCTCCTTCGCTGCTGCCACCCCTCCCCCCCCTCCCTTCGTCAGCATCTTCATTTCAAGACTAATAGATATGTCAACTGGTAATCTTTACACTTGTTTCATCCCTAGGCCCTTTGTTGAGGCTAGGTGTACCCATTTCGGTATAGATATGTTCAAGGAAATAGGCTTTCAGAAGGACAGAGAAGGTGAATTCAAGGCTAGGCCGTGTATCCACATGGATGCCTACCGGTAAGGATCTTCATCTCGTGTTTATCAATCAATAAACCCCCCCCTCCCCCCCCCCCTCCCTTTGTCAGCATCTTCATTTCAAGACTAATAGATATGTCAACTGGTAATCTTTACACTTGTTTCATCCCTAGGCCCTTTGTCGAGGCTAGGTGTACCCATTTCGGCATAGATATGTTCAAGGAAATAGGCTTTCAGAAGGACAGAGAAGGTGAATTCAAGGCTAGGCCGTGTATCCACATGGATGCCTACCGGTAAGGATCTTCATCTCGTGTTTATCAATCAATAAACTACAGTGCACCCTCCAATTCAGGACCTCTCTACTTCAGAGACCTCTAATTCTGAGACTTCCAAATTTACAACTAACTAACCCTCTTGGATACTGAAACCCAGAGACCACCCGAACTGTAATTCTGTGTTCTTTGAAAACATCATGCAGGAAATATTCAATACGTATAAGATTGTGTAAATAAAATAAACAGGTCTACTAATCTGTTTTCGGAGTGATCAGTGATCTTAATATGATATATGACTATTTCAAATTTATATTTAGAATTGGCATCAAAAGAGTGAATGGCTAAAATACATGTTCCAAATAAATCAGTATAATAGAGACATTCCTGATGATGACATAATTAATGTCTAGGTGTGATTTTGCCCTACCTGACGTGGAAATGTACTGAATGCTCAGTACGTTACAAAACAATTGCAAAAAAAATCGCAAGTTGTTCTCAGGTGGGACTCGAACCCATGATCTGCAGATCACTAGCCTGGCATCATACCTCTAGACCACCAAGCTTGCGCCTGATGGCCAGGGTTGAATAATTAATGTTGAAATATTGAATCCCAACATGATGGTGTGTATTTCAATACTGGAATATGTATTACACTTTCATAGAGATTATATTATCAATTTGAGTGTTAATACTGATGTATTTAATTTTAAATGCAAAAGTAGCTAAATATATTTATTTAGTTTTAACTATTAATTTAATATTAGTAAGAGCCAACTTTAAAAACTAGTATATTAATACTCACATGCCCATCTGACAGATAAAATAAATATTAGTCCATGTTGAGTAATGTACTTTATACTGTGCAAGGTACAATCAATGTACAGAATATTGGAGTTTAAGTAAGTACTTAGTCAAACTATTGCTCGTATTCTTCAACAATGCGTGTAATGGCAACATAATATGTGATAGTTTTTTGCAAATTGGTTTTTAAAACCTGTAGTAAAAATAACAATGCATGCTGTAGTAGTTATGTAAATAAGATACTTTATATGTAAAATTAGGCCTGACAGGATGTACAAACTGCATTATTACCTATCTGAGTTTCCTTTGATAGAACAATAGAAAATGAAACTTTGGAAGTGTGCAATTTAAAAGTGCCCTGAAAATGTGCAGGAAATTAACTTGTCATTGGAGTCGTGTATTGTTCATATGATATTCCGCTTCCATCAACTAAAAATAGCTTTTATTTCCAAATAACCCTTTTCCTTGAATTATATTTTTCAATTATGAATTATCATTCCTTGCCACACTCCATTTCAAACTCAAATCTAGAACCGAATTACTGTATTTTTAAATACCATATTTATTTGAATGTGATCACGCAATAATTGATGGTAATTGTGTATGTGTTGTAGTATCACATTTACAGTGAAATTAAGGGGCAATTAATTGGAGTGTATGTATTCATAACTTTTCAGAAACTGTGTACTGTTAAGTTATTTTTTCCCCCCAACTGAAATGGAATTGTTTTTATCTTTTATGATAAACATCATAAATCATGTTAAAGTAATAGTTAACAACATTTCTATTTAGATGGGTGAAAAGAGACAGTTATCTTCCTGTGGGCAGTCAGAATTTAAAGGCGACTACTAAAGCCAAACTACGCTATGACCCGGTAGAGGTCGACCCCGAAGACATGTGTCGTATGGCCAGCGAGGAACCACAAACTTTGTCCACGTATTCTGTCTCAGATGCGGTCTCCACGTACTATCTCTATATGAAATATGTGCATCCTTTTATCTTTGCCCTGTGTACAATCATTCCAATGGAGCCAGATGAGGTTAGTCGTTATTAATAAGTTAGATTTTTTGTTTTTTTGTTTTTTTTTATTACAGTAGAATCTCCCTATGAAGTGGACACTTTTTTTGGCTCTGAAGTGAGGGATATGTATCTTTTAACACTATGGTTTATGGTTTTATATTTATATAGTGCCTTCCACGATCGAAACCGTCTCAAGGCGCTTGAAAAAAAATATATGTGAATAATGTATGGAAATAAATTTGACCGGAAATAACCTAAACTAACCAAACAGAATAACCGACAAAACATAAAAAATAGAATAACACATCATCACACCGTTTCACTGACCGACCAAGGCCGGTCAGCTATTGATTTCTAAATAAGGTTTTACATTTTTTAAATCCAGGGTTGCATGACATTATCCAGGGTTGCATGCGATGATACAGAGGGTCTCCTTCAACAGTCATGCTTGTTTTAATACATCACAGAATTGTCAGAATCTTTCACTTCGGATTTCAAATGTTATTCTCTATAGAATAACAAGTTGAAATTAAATATTATAGTATTCTATTTTTAGGTACTAAGGAAGGGCTCAGGTACTTTGTGTGAAGCTCTTTTAATGGTCCAGGCATTCCATGCTAACATTGTATTCCCTAACAAACAAGAGAGTGTCTTCAATAAATTGAATGACGATGGCCATGTTATAGAATCTGAGACGTATGTAGGTGGACATGTTGAAGCATTGGAATCTGGTGTGTTCAGGGCAGATTTACCATGCAGATTTAGAATGGTCAGTATGTCTGTGATTGTTACATATTGTTCTTACTATTAAATTACCAATTCTTATTATTATTGATTTACCATAACACAAAGATGATAATATACTAATTATATCTATCACTAAAATCAAATGAACGTTCGTAGTATCAATCAAAATATTAACTATAATAATTTTAAATCTTTAAAAATTACATCTCTTTAGGTGCCAGAGGCTTTCCAGAACCTGATGAACAGTGTGGAGAGAACAATGAAACATGCCATAGAAGTTGAAGAGAAGGTTCCACTAGAGACTGTTACCAACTTTGAAGAGGTACAGTATTTATAGACAACAATTATATTAACTATTTCAAGATTATAACACTTAAAACTATGCAGAATTACTAAAGAATTTTAACATTGAAACTTAATATTATGTAAAACCTGAACATGATAAAATGTAAATAATGTTATGATTGGTGAAGCTGGTGTAGACTTCATGTGTAAGTGTTCTCTATCAATGTGTTACTCTCTGTTAATTACCTCTAATATAAAATCTTTATGTTGAGTTATCAATAACTTTGTAACTATCCGACTTTTTTCAGATTTGCTGTGAGATCAAAGAAAAACTTGCAGCTCTGCGGGACACACCAGCTCGCTTAGAGAACCCCATCATTTATCACTTGGATGTTAGTGCCATGTACCCAAACATCATCCTCACCAACAGGTTACAGGTTTGAATTCAATGTTCATTTACCAATCAGTCATATAATAGTCATTCTGGTATTAAAGTAGTATTGGATATATTTGCCTTCCAATCCCAAAACCATGGTTTTAAATCCGTCAAAAACTAGAAGAAAAAAGCAGCATTTCCTCGTACTAAGACCTTTTATTTTGTGGATTTTCTCTCTTCCTTTCTGTAATCGATGATTCACTTGTTTGATGAGGATGAAATAATTTAATATTAGACATGGGTTTTTTATAGAAAAAACACTAGTCATTGACAAGTCACTTACTTGATGTTTTTTTAAAAATAGAAATACACCTGACACCTGACATTGACCAAATATATTTAATAATAACACACACAGCAATTGTTACTGCTGAGACCCACTGACAGCCTGCATCCCATTAACCAATTAATGTTGTTCTCTGTACTGTCTTATAGCCATCAGCTGTTGTAGATGAAGTCACCTGTGCCGCGTGTGACTTCAATAAACCAGGTGCTAGGTGCCAGAGAAAAATGCCTTGGACATTGAGGGCAGTATATAGTAAGTTAAATTTATCAAGAAATTGTTAGGTGTACTTATGTTAACTAAAACAATATGAGTTAGTATTTGACACCTTGAAGTGGTTTTTAAAATCTAAATGCCTCATTCTCATACGATATTTGACTGGGTTTTTTTTAAGTGCCTGCTTCTAGAAGTGAGTACTACAGGATTCAACAGCAGCTGGAATCGGAGCGAATTCCCCCTCTGATGCCTGGTGGACCTCCTCGAGTGTTCCATGAACTGACTAAGGAGGAACAGGCAACAATGGAAAGAAAACGTCTAGCAGGTTAGTAATAAGTAGTCAAATGTAATGAAGGAGATCTTGAATACAAAAAAATGGTTTATTTTCTTAATACTTCACCTGGATAAATTGACTATTCCACTTAAGCCTAGAAATGTAGTGACCCCCATGGCGGCAAATTAATTCAACGAAGTGGTTTAAAATAAGAAAAATAACCATTAGGATTTCATTTAGATTAGGGATTTACTTCCACATTCTCAATTTTTCGCACCCGATACCCCTCCCCAAGACAAAACCAACCTATGCCCCTGTTCCCATTTTTCCTAATTGAACACCCACAAAGAAAACAAATATATAAAGGTACATATACTTTTTTTTATTCAAGAATACTGTAAGAAAGCATATAAGAAGACAAAGATAACAAAGGAACAAGATTGCCATACAACGATTTGTCAGAGGGAGAATTCCTTCTACGTGGACACAGTCCGAGCATTCCGTGATCGAAGATATGAATTCAAAGCATTGTGTAAGGTAAGAAGACTCATTTAATAACATTTTTTACTAATTCCTGCATGGCTTCCTGGATATATTTAGTACACGGTGGCACAACAAAGAGGTCTGTGGCCCTTGGCTAAGGATTCTTTGGGCCCTATTAGCCTAGGAGAAAAGCCCTTCGTATTTGGCGTTATAAGGAAGTACAGATCTCCAATTAAGGACCACCTCCAATTAAAGATCAGACCAAAAGAAATACATTTTTGTGTTGGCCACGTTTTGGGAAAATCCAAAAATTCGGTAGGTCAGTAGGAAAACTTTTTTTTTTAAACCAAAAATGTGTTTCCGCTTAAAAAAATAGAAAATACACAAATAATACAACAATTTTGGATTTGCATCCCATACCATGCACCAAAATAGGCTAGGCCTTGGCCCCCTAGCCTAGTCCAAGGCTATTGTTCCTTGTAGTAAAAAAAAAAATCTAAAATGCCGAACCTGAATTTTGTAAAATTTAAGTCGGTCGGGTGTGGCCAACACAATCATTTTTTTTATTTGGCCTCACTATTCTGTGGTCCCAAATTAACAAATTTCTTTTACCTTTATTATTCTAATTAGGAGACCAAAGCTGCTAAAGAACATGGAAACCCAGTCCCAAAAATGGTCTTAATTGGAGGGAGACCTGATTTTGATGTGTTTTTTACATGTTAGTGCTGCTAAAAAAGGCCTGCTCAATAACTGTATGGGGGGAAAATGCTGATAAATATTCAGGCCCCTTTAAAACCTAGGGCCCCTGGTTTGAATTAGTAAGAAATCATATCTGTTACGCCATTAGCTGTTGGTACACCCAGTGTCTATGCGCAATGGCAAATGACAAACTACATTTCTCTTTTCAATAATTTATTTTATTGTAATTGTTTTATACTTTTAGGTTTGGAAGAAGAAAGTAGTGGAAGCAGTTGATAAGGGAGAACCATCAGAAATAAAGAGTGCAAAGAACAAAGAAATTTTATACGATTCTTTGCAACTTGCCCACAAATGTATTCTGAATTCTTTCTATGGTTATGTAATGCGCAAAGGGTAAGGACAACATATCATACTAAATTATATCATCAGCAGTTAATTTGTTATGCATTGTTAGTACCTGCTTGTGAAATGGGAGTTACTATTCCTAAAACTAAGTACTTGTGTTTGTGTTCTGAATAAATTTGCTTTTGATAAAACTCAAATATTATTATTGTGTATTTGTTTCTCAGTGCACGGTGGTACTCAATGGAAATGGCTGGTATTGTGTGTTACACTGGGGCTAGTATCATCACAAAGGCAAGGGAGATTGTGGAGCAAATTGGGTAAGCGACTACTTACTACTATGCTACTACTAAATTAATTCTGCTACAACTAGGCCTGTTACTGCTACTTCATGAATTACAACTACTTCAATTTCCTATAAGCTTTGTTTCTAATTATTCTAGGTCAATGTATAATGGGCAATACAATGCTTGAGTTAATTAACACTTTTATATAACGTTACACAAACGTTTTTAAAAACTCATCGTTTTCAACTGTTTAGTTTTTGCTGGATGTTTATAGTGGTTTTCAGGTGTGGTCTCACCTTTTCCTTACTCAAGGTAACATCATTGTCAGGCTTATCCTGTGGTGGAAAGTGGCAGAGCCCAGCATGCTGCCTTTTGAGGATTACCTGCGTCTAATTTGCCTGATCACAGCGACATTACTTTGACATCGGTGGATGAGACCACTTGAATGTCACCATCTCCTGCATTCTGCTCATTTAAATATTTGTTTAATTTTGTTTTTTTTTTCAAATTTTTATTTATTTTAGTTTCATTTGTTTTATTGTTTAGAGGTTATTAACATTAGGTGCTATATAAAGATTGATTATTATTATTATATTAATTATAAATATTCATATTGTTATTGGTATTTAGCCGACCATTGGAGTTGGATACGGACGGAATATGGTGCGTACTGCCAGCCTCATTTCCAGAAAACTATGTGATAAAGACAACTAACCCTAAGAAGTCAAAGGTCACAATATCCTACCCTGGAGCAATGTTGAACATTATGGTTCGGGTGAGTATAAATAATTTATTTATTTAAAACTCACCTTTTCCATCATTAACATGCACAGCGCCTTTGATAATGCACCCCGGTCGTTTAGTTGACACTTCATAAATTCTAATATTATTTGATTTAAAATATCATAAATATTTCATAATTTAGCTGAAAATGGATTATATATCGTGTTTTGAACCATTTTGATTCTAGGATCACTTCACAAATGACCAGTACCAAGAGTTAGTCGACCCAGCCGCACTCAGGTATGAAGAGCGCTCTGAAAACTCAATCTTCTTTGAAGTTGATGGTCCTTACTTGTCTATGATTTTACCTGCATCTAAAGAAGAGGGCAAAAAACTCAAGAAAAGGTTTGCGTTTATTAATATTTCATTTTTTAATATAATGTAAAAAAAAGAGAATTTATAAAAAAAAATAGCAACTATTTCATTATCCTGCTGTCTTTTATATAGATATGCTGTGTTTAATTTTGATGGATCTTTGGCGGAGTTAAAAGGATTTGAAGTGAAGCGAAACGGGGAACTCCAGTTGATCAAAATCTTCCAGAGCTCTGTATTTGAAGCATTCTTAAAGGGGTCAAGTCTAGAAGAATGCTATGCAGCGGTGGCAAAAGTAGCCGATTACTGGTTAGATGTTCTGTACAGTAAGGTAAGAAGGCATCATTTTATTCAATCGGTTTTTTATTCTGTGGTACATTCAGCCTCCGGCTTTATGTATTGTCCGCAACTTTTGTGTCACAATTGATAAAGATGTTCAATGTATGAATTTAAGTAAATCCTTGTCAAGCCACTAGAGCCCATATATCTAGCACTTATCCTCAGTTTCAAGTAGCGTTAAGCGGATGAGAGTGTGGTGCTTCCCCTGGGTGGGATGCTGGTCCACTTCAAGTTACTCCCAGCAATTTGCTGGTCCCCATTGGTACAGCTGGATAGACTGAAGCAATGTAGATGAAGTGCCTTGCTCGAAGAAACAAGCGAAATGCGCAGGATAGCATTAAAACCCTGACCTCAAGGTTGGGAAAACAACCGTCTCTACTGTGCCAAAGTGCCTGAATAGACACTGTATGTATGGATAGAAACTATAAAAATATAGAATAAATACAGTCTATTTTAGTCTCAATATTATTAGTTTCGATTATGGTTGTGTATTAACATTATCACTCTCTATTGTTTGTGGTATTTGGCTGTTCTCATCACTGATGATTGATTGGTGATTAATTGCATTGTATTTTTTTAGGCTGCTAACATGCCAGATTCTGAGCTTTTTGATCTGATCTCTGAAAATCGTAGCATGTCTCGTAAACTAGATGATTACGGAGAACAGAAATCCACATCTATTAGTACAGCCAAGAGATTAGCAGAGGTAAGTTAATGTTTATTGTTTGTTTGAGTTGTAAAAGTAGGTTATTATCTCCAGCCACTTTTTTAACACACTAAACATATACTCAATTTTCAAGTTGTTTATTTGTTCAACAGTTTCTTGGAGATCAGATGGTGAAGGACAAGGGTCTGGCGTGTCGCTTCATCATCTCACGTAAACCAGATGGTGCGCCAGTCACAGAACGTGCAGTCCCCTTGGCAATCTTCCAAGCAGAACCAGGTGTGAAGAAGCACTACCTTAAGAAATGGCTCAAGAATCCGTCAATGACTGACTTTGATATTAGAAGGGTGAGGGCATTTGATCTTATTATGAATTCTTATATGCTTGGCTGAATCTACAGTATTGGTTAGATGTTATTTAGGGCGAGTCGAGTGGCCGAGCGGTAAGGCAGGGGCGCCTTAACCTAGGCGCTGGTTCCAGCCACTCCTCGCCCATGGTCCAGTGTATACATCCGGCTCGTGTGCACTTTATAGAACCCATTGCATCTTCGGAAGAGTAGGGGGTTACCCCGATGTTATGGTTCTTTTCAGCCCCTGTCATTGTGGAATGATGTGAACATGTATCTACCAAGAAGCACCTCTTTACGGCTGCTAGGTAGTCATGGACCACGCCCATACGCAATTCAGCACAATGACACTGCAAGTTATGGGTTATTCTCCTACCTCTACCCTTTACCTTTAGTATTAATCATTAAGGTTCAGGCATTCGTTGATTTTTTTTTCAGGAAATAATAGCTCTTTCAGATTCTAATTTTCAACAACGCCTCACAATTTCACAATAATTTTTTACCCTGTGTTAACTGTTGACATAGACCACTAACTAGCACCTAGAGCGCTGATTATACAAAGTGCGGCCTGACAACAAGTTTTTTTGCACCGCAGAGAAATAAATTGAAAACCCTATGTGTGCGGCCTGCCTTCCATCTTTAACTAGTAAACCTCCTGTTGTTACGGCCTACCACTGAACAATTGCGAAAAGTAACAGCATAAACCAGTATGCAAGCAGAGCATAAAGCAAAATGGGAACATCAAATTTTCACCATGAAAAAAAATCCCTTCTGCTCTCTGAATAATTTTTATTCCCACATTAATCTAGAGAGTTATGTATATATTTGAATAATTTTCCTCGGTCTCTGTAGATTCTTGACTGGGAATACTATATAGAGCGTCTTGGGAGCTGTATTATGAAGATCATCACAATCCCAGCTGCATTGCAACAGGTTGCTAACCCAGTGCCGAGAGTCAAGCACCCTGATTGGCTGCACAAGAAACTACTGGAAAAGAATGATGTGTTCAAACAACAGAAGATCAGTGAGATGTTTGCTCCATGCCCAAAGCCTAATGTAAGTGATGTGATAGTTTTAACTTTTTCTAGGTTGTTTCCCACATTTTTTATAGCCTTGAATTAACCGTTTTAAAGTAGTAAAGTTGTATAAATATCAGTCCTCACAAAATGTATAGGATTATTAGTATAAACTGCATGGCGCCACCTATTGGTTAGGGTGGACAGTACACAGTGTCTATGCTATACTAATAAGAACAATTGAATTTTCTACATAAAATATGTTAAATTTTACGTTTAAAAAATACTTTTTTAAGATGGTAACAATTTGGTTTATTGATACAAGAGTAAAAGTATCTTGATTTTCAATGTATTTTACTTTTCCCTAAAGCCACCAGAGGCAATTGATAGCTATCAGGATAGTGGTGACAATGGCATTGCAGATATGGAAGATTTTGGCAGGTTGAATAACCCAAACAACACATCAGCTGTAGTTAATATCCGTAAACGAAAGCGAGATACAAATACAGAAGAGAGTCGTGGTCGCAGTCAAGATTCTGACCTTAGCCAGTCATGGCAGGAAGTTTTAGGACCAGCACCCCCTATGGGTAAAACAAAGGCAAGAGAAACTTAACAGGATTAGGACTATCTTATAATTATTAATCCAGTTTAAATATGCTTAATATATACAATTTGTTGTTACTTTACTGGAAGGAATATAATAAAATAAATAAAAATATTTTCCATTTAGGATGAACATAGAGAGTGGGTTATATATCACAAGAAGAAATGGGCATTACAAGCAAGACAACGAAAAGAGCGCAAACGTAGACGAACAGACGATGACTCAGTACATGCTGATCTTGGAGGCGGAGGAGCTATTAGAGTTGGCCAATCCGCAGGCCTTGGCAATTTCTTAAGGCGTACAGCCAGGTCGCTTGTGGACACTCCCTGGCAAATTGTTCAAATTGCACAGACCAATGAGCCAGGCCTGTATCGTCTTTGGGTGTTGGTTAACAATGAGTTGCATGGCCTGAAATTGAATGTGCCTCGCATTTTCTACGTGAATCAAAGACATCCAAAAGAAGAGAAGGAAGGAGCAAGTAAGTAGTGCATGCATAATCCTACTGAGTCACATGATCTAATGTATTTTATTGTTTATTAAAAGTACAAAAAAGATGATGCCAATTTGTTCACATCTGTTAGGTCAGTGTATGTGTCTTATAAAGTAGAACCCCTCCATTGAGACTCCCCCATTAAAGGACACCCTTATTAAACACTTTTTGGCTGTGAAGTGAGAGAAATGTATCTTAACACTATGACCAACCCCTATTTAGGGTACTCCCCCTATTAAGTCGACACTTTTTTGTTCCCGAAGGTGTCCCCTTAATAGGGGTTGTACTGTATATGTAACTGGTTGAGCACATCATTTACAACCATTCAACAAAAGAATATTTCAGAATGTGAACACTTTTATCAGGATCAGTAAGATTAATGTAGGGTGCAGCGGGAAAGGGTTTGGTTTCCCAACCTTGTGGTCGGGGTTTCAATCCCTCGCTGTGCATTTCGCTTGTGTTCTTAAACAAGACACTTTATCTGCATTGCTTCTCTCCACCCAGGAGTATAAATGGGAACCTGGTGGGGTCGCCTGCTCCTGCACTGATTACAGCAGCAACACTTAAGCATGTAGACCCAATGACCGGAGACACAAAATCTCTTCATATCTGCAAAGAAAGGCGCTATATAAATAACAGAATATTATTATATTATATTGATACAGGTATACCACTATAAATTGTAATATTGGATTTAAATATGTTTTTTTTTTGTGTAATTTATTTTTGTTGCAGCATGGAGAAAAGTGAATAAGTCTCTGCCAAGATCGAACCCTGCCTACTTTCTTTATGAATATGCTGTACCTGAACACCTCTTCCAAGAGCATTCTAAGTATGTTTATACCTACTCCCTTCAAGTTTAGATTTCTCACCTTCCACTTAATAACCATTCAAAGATTACACTCTATGGTAGATTGTGACATTGACACTTGAAGAATTGAGATATTTTTTCAAATTTCCATCTCATAATCAGTCTGGAAAAATCATTGATAATTCAACAACATGATTAAATTTTGATTAAACATAATAAATTTACCAACGTTTCGGAAATAATTTCTGCCTTTACCTCCATCTGTAGTGAGCTGTATGCCGACTTGTCAGCCCCAGACATTGAAGGTGTATATGAAACGCAGCTAGGCCTGGATTTCAGAGCCTTAGTGAGGTTAGGATGTGTGTGTATGGTTAGTAGGCAATATGCAAGGTACTTGGCTGGAAAGGTATGTTACTACTAATGTTATCTGTTTATAACATCTCCCATTCTGTGGAGACAGACTACACATTCATACATAAAACATTTCAAAATTTGTATAGTACTGCAAGTAAAAAACAACAGTTCTTTTGAGAACTATATACATGGTTTCCAGCATTTACCACATTATTACTTCGCCGTCTAAACCTTCAAATAATATTTTACTGCAAGTAAACATATAAACAAAACTCTATCAAATTTTTAAAACAATTTTTGCTTTTCTGTCTTATTTGATTGACAGGAAGTAGATACGTTTGACCTGCAGCATCTTGATTTTAAGACCTTGGCTCAGTTTGCCTACCTTCCAGCTGGATCTATGAGACGGGTGTTCATCTATCATCACATGGTGTAAGCCTGCTCTCTTGTACTTATATCTGTCTACACACACTCATTCTTACTCCTATCAAAAAAGTTGTTTCATTTCTTTTCTCTATGTGCATCACATTATTACACCACAGTCCTGGGAAGTAGTAGCAGTATATTAAATACATTCATAGGATCCAATAGTAGGTAAATACATGGTTCTTTTATGATGATCCAAAAATCAAGTATACGGGTGAATTTGACATCAAGTCCATCCGTAAGTTTACATCATCCTTACTTATACTCGATTTTCAGATCATCATAAAAGAACCATATATTTAGTAGCATTATGTTGCAGATACAGTGTATTAGCATTCTAACTTACCACATGCAAAACTATACTCCCGAGTAGAAACACCCATATGGATTAAGCCACTAATTAGCACCTCTCCAAACTCTCATTTGTGTATTAGCACCTTGGGCTTGTTCCTTTTTTGTGCCAGACTGCCTTGCTGTAATTGTTTTTTCATATTTAGTAATTGTATTGTACATGTATTTTTTAGTGGTTCAAAGGCTATGTTTGGTGTTTTCTTCTCAACAACAAAGAAGGCCACAGTGTTTGCAGTGGATACAGTAAGGACCAATCAGATGCCAAACCTGACAACTATGTACCAATCAGAACGCAATGCAAAGTGAGTCATTAGCATTTTTGTAAACGATTTCAAATAATTTCATTTTTTTTGTTGTATTATGGGAATTAAGGAATGTGTACTACAACGCTTATCTAATGCTGATGTACCAACCACACACATTAAATTTCTGTAGCTGTCAATTTTTCTCCCGAAAAATTTCATTGTGTTGATATAAACTTAAGTGTAGTAAATGTATTTTATACTGTAAAGTAACTTTTCATCCTTAAAATTTCTGTATCTATCTTGTAAACCTCTTCAAATTATAAACATATTTACTCTTCCCCCATAGAATTCAACGGGGTACTGAAGAGGAGTATCTACCAATGCCGGAACACTCTTTTGAAGTGCAAGTTGAGAAAGACATCAAGAAGGCCTACAAGGCCATCCATCGTCTGCTTAGTGCTTACAAAGATGAAAGGAAAGGACCAACATTCATAGCTGTTCAATCAAAAATGGGTTAGTTTCTGTAGTCAACAAGTGTATAACCCTTAAAACATCACCTTAATATTTTCGACCCATTTTTTTTAGTAATGCTATGCTTGACCCAGTTGAAAAACAGCAGCCTGTACTGGCCAGATTTATCAAGTAAAAAAATATATCATATATTTCGTTCAAACACATTATCTGATGAACTCATTCAATCTTGTGTATTTCATTTTCTTCATGGCTGATGTTTGACCCCTGCCTGATATTTTTCTATATATCACCAGGTAATCTTGAGTTGATGAGTCATATTCCAATGCTGGAGGAATTCCCACTTGTGCGGATCCATGCTTCTGATAACGACAGCCTCTACGGTGTGCTAGATTGGCAGCGTCAAGGTTCCCGGAGACTCCTGCAGCACTACCTCAATGTTGACTACCTGCTTATGGTGAGAAATTCAACCAAATATTTAAAAAGGTTGCCATAAAAGAAATCAAATGATCGTCTAGTACACCATGTGTTTGAAGTTATTTCTGTAAACAATTTCTTCCTTTAAATTTGAAAATGTTTTTATCTTTCATTTCCAGAGTTACCTTGAGCAGAGCAGGTACTTCCATGTTCCTCTTGGCAACTTGCCTGAAGATCCTGGCATTTTCGGTGCAGATTTATTCTTTGCTCGACATCTGCAGAAGCATGGCCATCTCCTGTGGACTTCAATGTCTGAAAGGCCAGACTTGGGTGGGAAGGAGGCAGACGACAACAGGTATAAAGACTCTTGTTCTTATTTACTTTTTTCATCCTACTACCTTTCATATTTTGAGAGGAGAATAAAATGTGTAGAATAAATATGGAGATTTGATATTGGGAATTAAATAGTAAATGTTCAATCAATCAAACCATAATATTTATTATATTAATGTTTGGGATCCTAATTATAGGTTTATCCCTTGTCTCACTTTGCAGCAGCATACATGCATCAAAGTATTTCAGTTATGTTTTTTATATATAATTTTGTTGCAGACTTGTTTCTGAGATGGAAGAGAAGGCAACCATGGAAATAAACAATCCTGGCTCCTATGCTACCGTGTGTGTTGAACTTGATATTGCAAGTCTAGCAGTCAATACATTACTGCAGGTAAAAACCTTTAAATTCTCACATTGTAAGCTTCACTCTTATTGAGGTTTGAGATTTGGTTTCTTTCTGTCAATTCTTTTACAACCAACAAGTAAAGATGCCAATAGGTTGTGTGATCGCTACATAGCAATTCTCATTCTGTGGCTTATTCAAAGGATACTCTGATTCTATTCTGCAAGACCAAACATAAAAGGAAAGACATGATTCTTTGAAAAATAATTTTAATACATTATTTATATAGCACATATTGCAAAAAACTTCCTCTGTACACTTTACATTATTACCCCTTGTCATTGAATTAAAAGACATCCATATTATATCAAAAACAAGGATACATTGTAATTTAAAAAATTGTATTAAGTCTAATCAAATACTATCTGTTGGGAACATATTTTTTAACCCATGTACAATCTTCACAAATTATCTGTATAACTTACACTATTTTCTTTTCGTCATGGTATAGTCGCATCAGATCAGTGAGTTGGAAGGAGCAGCAGGCAGTATAGCCTTTGACAGCATCCCACAATCCTCTCTTGAAGATATGGTCACCGGCCAAGCAGGTGCCGCTGCAGGCCTAGCAAGTTATGATGAGACTGCCCTCTGTGCTGGCACATTTAGGTTAGTCTTGATGGTCCAGATGTAACATTGCTGTGGTAGTTATCATTTTCAATAAATTGTGTTATTGTTTCTGGTGGATGCTGGTTAATAATTTCATTATTATTCTTATTATAACCTTAACATTACTTTTGCTGTCATTACAACAGCCTCAGCTAACTCCTTAATCAATACTTGTCATGTGACCACTTTGGTGGGGCAGGCACATGACAGCAAATATTAATAATTATTTCTATTGATTTTTCAAATATCTGATTGATTCTCTTTGACATGTTTGATTCAATATCTGTCCAATTACTACTGTACTTTATTATTTTGTTTGTCTTAATGAAATTTTCCCTTAGGCAGAATGAAAGAAATGAAGAAGCAAAACACAAGAAAACATTAATCAATCATTTTATCTGCTTTAATTGTTTATTTCCAGGGTTATGAAAAGCATGGTACACGGTTGGCTGAAAGATGTAGCCGAGTATGGTAATGCTTTTGCAGACTATCAAATTATGCACTTTTATAGGTATGTATTTGCAGAGACAATTTAGGTCAACGAATTGTATGTGAATATTCATTCTATATGAATATTAATTTATAAACATTAATTTGTGTTATACTAATCAATGATATGATATACACTGTGACTCACTGGCCAGTTGCAAGGACAATGTAATAGGAAAGAATTGCACATTTTTGTCATGGATGTCAACTTGTTTACATTTTTTTAATTTGGTGCGCCCTCGTGCATTATAGTAACAAGCACCGAATCATTAGTTTCAATGTGTTTCGTTGGCATGTTTGTCTCTGACATTCCACAGATGGCTACGCTCACCAAGTGCATCCCTCTACGAACCCGCCCTCAGACGTACTTTAAGTAATCTTATGCAGAAACTATTCATTCATCTAATTACCGAGTTCAAGCGACTTGGCTCTACCATCGTGTACGCCAACTTCAATCATATCATTCTTTGCACCAAGAAGAGAAGCGTAGTGGACGCCATTGCTTACGTTGAGTACATCACAAGCAGCATCAAGTCGCGAGACTTGTTTCATGGTATTGATATGTCCTTCAAAGAATGCTGGGAATATCTGATCTGGCTTGATCCGGTAAGTTGTCTTGTTCCTTGATTTCTTCAATTTTTCCCCATATATGGGTATGATCTCGCACTGACCTGGAGTGAAGTTGAATAGCTTGGTGGTTAAGATGCCTATTTTTGAATCCCGGGCTTAATTTCAGTGACAGCACTAGAATTTTGTACAAGTAATATAATTATTTAGTTTAATTTCCTTCTTAATTATTCTTCATTACAACCATTTAGCATTTTGGAAGAAGTAATTTAGTGTCTAATAATTATTCATTGAACCTAATTCGACTGATCAAAAACTCATCATAACACAATCTATCATCTTTTTCAAAATATTTATAAGGCTAACCATGGTGGGGTGAAAGGTCAGCTTCCAAAGTCATTACAGCAACCAACTGGAGATGAGCAAGGCACTGCAGAAACTCCTGAAGATGAAGACAGTGAAGTTGTAGATAGTGATAAAGAAGATGAGGAAGAGGTAAAATCACATGATAATTACATTTTTTTATGTGTTATACAATATACAATTCAATTTTAATCGCTACTCAAAAATTGAAATTTTTAGCATTCTGTTATCCATGTTCAATTTCGTAAAGCAAGGCAAAGTTTAAATTCTTGTCAACTGGTTCCATTTTTTAAACAGGTTGAAGTTGAAATGAATTGGAATATAATGCACTACCTACCAAAAGCAGCAGCGTGTCAGACCAATTTTAATGTAAGTCACTACTCTCTTTAATTCCCATTATTTTAGATAGCAATAAGTTTAGCTCTATCTTGTTCATTATGTGAGTGTAGAAAATGTCATTAATAAATGTTTTCTAAAGTTTTAAGTTGAACCGATGAATGTTGTACATTGTTATTTATATGTTCTGCATTTTAATTCTTGTGCTCTTATTCTAGATGACAATAGCTGGATATATCCTAGCCATTTATCAACACCTGCAAGAAGACATGTTACAAAATACACCTGGAAACACACCTGTACGTCGCCGTGGTAACACACAGACACAGTTGTCGAATGCTGACCCGTCAACAACACCTAGTATTGTGGGCTTCTCTCAAGAGCTTATATCTGGGGACTTATCACAGAGGCTATTTGCGTGAGTGTGTTGATAGACATTTATTACTCTGTTATATGGGAAAATATACACAATTGTACGAATGATAGTCCAAGAGCTAATTTATCTGAGGACTTCTAATGGTTGGTTGGTAAGGTTGAAGCAAACTAAAATTACCCACAAAGGGGTTCTTCTGATGATGAACTGGGCAGTACACAAAGAGACAGTCCCCAGCTCAATTGTTTGAATGTCTATCTTAGAAGACGATGCATTAGGTGCATTTCAGCCCTCCAGGTGACCATGGAATTGAAGCAGGGACTAAGGGTCTGAAAGGATCAACATGGTTTAATGCACACACAGTGGCTACCACTAGATTAGCCAGCTTAACTATGGTGCCGTATTTTGGTAATTTTTGTGGTACATGTACTAGGTGTTGTTATCCAAGTAGTAGATTATTCCAGAATAAGTTTAAAATACCCATCACAAACTTATTTGAAAAAGAACTCTATTTAGGCAGGAATTATTTACATTAATTTTGTTTTTGATAGCATAACACAGAAGATTCAAAAGAAGATTTCTGGTAACCGTGGCAATAGACATGATGCTTCAGAGGTGTTTCCTGATCTGCCAGGCTCTCACTTACCATTCCAGAACCCAGCACTGGAGTTTGTCAAAGCAGTCTGCAAGGTAAGCCAGAGAATGATAGGCAATGTACAACTTCCTACACTAAGCAGAGAGAATAGTCTCAATCTTTTAACACTGAGCGAATCGATTCAATACTCGTTAAGAAAGGTCTGAGGGCAAAACTATTTTAAATTCTTGACCTTGCAATGCAGGCAAATGTTGTTGTTGCCTTATAAATATTTATGAGTTATTGTAAACAAAGAAGATGCATGAAGTGATAGATATGAATTTGTGTGTAGGTAACATAGTTAGGTATGTTGAGGAGTGGTTTGGCATAGAAGTTGTGGTTCTGCTTCCCTATCTTGAAGTCGGAGGTTGAATCCATCGCTGTGTATTTCGCTTGCGTCCTTAGGCAAGGCATTTTTCCTACAGTTGTCTCTCTCCACCCAGGAGTACAAGTGATTACCTGGTAGATTCAAATGCAGAAATGCACTGATTACAGCTGCAACATTATGGAATTATCCCCAGGGACCTGAGTATGTGTTCCATGTGCTTGATGCAATGACCTGGAGTAATGATATTACGCGCATAGAGGTTTCTACAACATACGCTATACAAGTCGACCATTATTATTATTGATAGCCAGCTAGATAATAATGTCCATGCTGTTGACTAAATATATCTTTCAATTACAGGTGTTGTCATTAGACTCAAACATTACTAACCAGGTAAACAAACTAAGACGTGACTTATTGAAATTGATCGGCGTTGGCGACTTCTCCGAGGATGCAAAATGGGTTGATCCATGTCTATCGTACGTTTTGCCAGAGGTCATTTGCAAGGTCTGTAACCATTGTCGTGATCTCGACCTCTGTCGGGACCCAATGCTAGTTCAAGATGGCAATTCTGTGTAAGTTTATATTGTAATTGATTTTATATATTGAACATTTTTCGTTGATCTTCATAGGTTTATTATTGTTCAGGAGACTGTTTGGTTCAGCGGAAATGGTTTGGTTTCTCAAGGTTAGGGGATTTCATCTTTCACTGTGCATCTTTCTTGTGTCCTTAAGCAAGGCACATTATCTACATTGCTTCAGTCTACCCAGCAGTATCAATGGGTACCAACAAATTGTTAGGAGTAACCTGCGGCGGACCAGCATCCCACCCAGGGTGAAGAAAGCACTTTTTCTGCTCCACGCTACTTGAAACAGCGGATAAGCTCCAGCCCATATGCTCAGCAAGAATTTAATATTTACTTATGGTTCTAATGATATTAAATCTCTTTTAATTGACAGAGCAATGTGGCAGTGTATCCAGTGCAAGAGTGACTACGATACAAGTGCTATTGAGCATTTATTAGTGGAGTCTGTTCATCGAATGTCTATGTCCCACATCCTGCAAGATCTCACCTGTACAAAGTGTTCTCAGGTAAGATATAGAGCTGAGCTATTGCCTGAAAAATAGTCCTCCTCCTCCTTGCACCGAAGACCACGGTGCAAACCCTGCCAGCACCAGGTTTTAATTGGCGTTAATAAGAAGAGTGGTTTTAAGAAGAACCGGATATTATAGTTATTGTTGTTTGTTGTTATTTAGTTCTTGTTTACAACCACTAATATGGCATGCTGGGAATAATGTTCTGGCAGGTCTTGCACCTTAAATTTCCGGTGAAGAATGAGGTGGTGATGGTTTTTTGCTGTTCATGGCGGCCCTGGTTAGTTTTAGGTTATTTCTTGATTTAGTTTTTTTTTTTCATTATTCTCACTCCATTACCTTTTTATTCTCTCTTTTCTGTTTATGTAAAGTGCATAGAAGCTCTGGCATCATGCACTATATAAATGTAGCATTATCATTAGTAGTAGTAGTAGTAGTAGTAATTAGTGAATCTAACATCTATGTTACAATATCTCTTAGGTGAAACAACCAAATATGACCAGTTACTGTGAGTGTGCGGGGGACTTCGAAACAACCATGTCAGTGAAGACGCTATCAGAGCAAATGAAAGTTTTCAGCAATATTGCAAGGTATTTAACTCCCTTCACTTGTGTTCAAATATTTTTGTTTTTATTAAAATATAAATTTAACATTATCCTTGAAGATTTTTATAATAGATTGATTGATTGATCGATTAACTGATCTGTTGATTAATCGATATACTATGGAATGCAAACAATTATTTCACTAAGCAATATTTTTTTTTTCTAGACATTATGATATGAAGCTGCTTGGAGAAACAGTTGATTGGATCCTAAAGATGAACCCAAACATTATGAAAGCTTGAATTTGATTGGTGCATGGTGAAGAGAAGTTTGATGCGACAGACTGTTGATTGGAATCCAGTAAGTGGAAAGGAAGCTTAAATTCGATTGGCTCTCCTTTTGTCAATACATTACAACAAGAAAGAAAAAGGTTCCTGTACAATTTATATTGGTGTTGATAATGATGAAGTAAAATTATTACACTGCTTGTATTAAATTTTGACATAACAATTAAAACACTATTAAAAGTACAACATAGATTTTACTACTTAATTCCATATAGTAAAACATAAAGACTATATACTGCTTTTCTGCAGAAATATTTTCTAAGTATATTTCCAATTTAACAATCGTTTGCCAAATATTTTGTATTTATTGTAGCAAAATAAAATTACTCTTTATATAAATCGTTTATGCATCTTTATTTGCATGTGGTAGCCACACTTCTTGTACACTGAACCGTGAAAATCTCTTGGTCCCCAGTTCAATTCCATCGCTGCTCCCCTTGTGTTTCATCTGAGGTCTGAAATGCAAGGTTACGATAGCGCAGTGTCTTTCAGATAAGACATTTAAGCCGTTGGTCCCATGTACATTATGGCCCATGTGCGCTTTAAAGAACTTATTACACTAGGGGATTGTATCCCAGTGTACTGCCCAATCACCACCTAAAGGGGCCCCAATAGAAATCAGTCTTTCGTGGGTTATCCTTGGTGTTTACACCAAATAAATCCATCAATCCATCCATCATATTCACAGCATTAGTGGCTCTGACTGGAGGACGATGAAGATCTCTGTTCTCATCGAGCAGATCCTGGCACCAACATTGTATCTGAGCCTTTGATAACATGTAACACATGCCTCAAACCCCACACATCAAGTAACACTTGCAAAAAACGTTCGGCTCGTACGTTCCAGAATTGGTAATTTAAGTTGATGGCAGTACACATGTTGATAACATTAAAATCGCATGATATAACATTTCAATTAAAATATATCAAATTATATATAACTCTCGTTTCAACAGTTCTAGAAAAGAAGTTTCTTCGACCACCCAGTTTGTGTGATTATTACTGTCGAGTCATATATTTTGTGATATAGATTTATCCTTTTTTTTCTAATAACGAATTAATGAACAGGCTGCCTACATTTTCTATCATGTGTAGCTCTAGGCCCTTAACTCATGAAGGATACATTATGCATAATTGCGATTAAAACATGTCACCCTGGATCGACTGAAACAGAAAATTGACGTGTTTAGAACTTTTTTGAAACTGAATTTGTGAGAGTACTCTACTAGAAAGAAAAAGAACTAGAAAGAAAAAGAAGCCGGAAACCTTAATAAGAGTGTAAACGTTTACAATAACGTTAATTCACAGTGAAGATTGTTGTATAGAGAATATTTGATTTTGATTGGCGTTATTCCGAATTAGATATTCAGTTTTGAGTACTGTATTACAATTTCTAGGGGCTTGCCTTTTTTATTGAATCCAGTCCCAGTTCTGTATCCTAAATTCTTGAAATGTCTTTTTTTTAATTATTATTTATGTACCGCCCTCTATAAGGAAACTTTTAAGATCAAACTAATTACTGTGTACGGTACCATACTCTTTTCTGTTTAGTGCTATCTGTATTCTTGCATTTATATAAGTTCGTTTTAGCTAAATTCCATGTATTATTTTTAAATGTTTTCTCTTGAAAATTTAAATCCTGTATTCTTCCAGTCTATTTCATGGAATATTTACCTGCGACAAACAAGTGGTGCCAATTGTTGTGTGCTTGTCTCCAACTACACACAGGTAAAAAAAAAGGTGGTTCTGCTTGCCCTATATCGTTTCGTATACCTGCTATCGATATTTTATGACGTTAAAAAGTGAATAAAAACAACCTCGAGCATACATCATGTGGTTTTTTTTTCTTAATCACATGCTGCTAATAGGTTTTTGCTCTTCGTGTTTCATATTCATTAATTTAATTTGTCGTTAATATCTTAAATGTAGCCACACAGACTCGCATTGTCAGCAGATATGAACACACTGACGTGAAGGATTTATTCTGTCGGTGGTTTTTAATCAATACATCAGAAGTACGAGTGTGCGCAAAGGTCGAGATTTTTCAACATTAATTCATGAAAATCAGATCGGTTTATTGTGAATTAGCACAGCATGAGGACGATGAATCAGAGGGAACTTGACTTATGTCAATTTAAAATAGTCGTCGTCAAATTCTAGACCAGAGATCACTTACTCCCCTCTGGCAAAGCTAGTAGATCACCGACCACGTCTCATCGGGTCACCGCGACGTATTGCCTGATATATTGTAAGTGTTTGCCGAGTGCGGAATTACGTAGCCTGGGGACTAGATGTCGTTTAGACACCGTTCATCATTGTAAAAATGAAAGGGAATGGAGATAAAACCATTCATTAGTTGTTTTCTTTGTATTAAATGTCACATCGTTTAGTTTGATAAAAAAGTTAATTGTGAGAAGAAAGCTTATGTGAGACTAGTGTCAAAAATAATACAATATAGGCCTACAGCTGCACGACGAAGAAAGTTGTAGGCGCTGTGGTTGATTGATTGGTTTGAATGAGTGATAGATTGATTGATTAAGATCATCGCTGTCATTATACTACCTTATTATTATTATTATTATTATTATTATTATTATTATTATTATTATTATTATTATTATTATTATCATCATCATCATCATCAGATCATTATCATCATCATTCATCATATTAGGTCTTGTTCCTAGTATAGTACCCATACAGTATATATGTCTTATAGCTATCATAGTTATTGTTATGATTGTTACCATTATTATCATTATCTTTGGTGCTATCATTAATATTATATTATATTGTTAATGGGCTTAGAGTTAATTAAAATCCCCTTCAAATTAGTGATGCAAATAACTGGCTATTTAGGCAGATATATCATCAAAGAAAGGTAAATCATGTGTTCGAATAAAGGACATAATAATAGTAATTATGTTATATTTTTTATTCGAACACTGTATTTACCTTTCTTTGATGATTTATATATAATTTAACAGTGTTATATATATATATAATAA